CATTGCCTTTCGTTCGCATCATCGCACAGCATTAGAGCGACCGCACCATCAACTATGAAAGCGCTCTGTGCGCAGCCGACATTCCAGGGACCGTATCCTACTCTTCCTCAGGGAACGCCGCTGATCCTATCTTATGGCTGGAGGAGATAGGGTTGCGTCATACCACCAGCCATACTTTGCGTTTCTAGGCTCCAGACAACGCTACCCCTCAGAGAAAGGAACGAGGCGAGAGTAGCTACAACATCGCGCGTTAAATGGCGGGTCCTCGTGGCGCAACCCCGTCTCCCCTGAGCTACGGCGGGGACGCGTTCCTGGGGGGAAGGAAAGAATACGGCCCCAAATGAGAGCGATGCTCTCCTCTACCTCTCCGGTGTCGCACGGTTGGCATTGATCGGATTTGTGGGCGCAATTATAGGCTGGTGTCAGAGTCCGCGATCCGTCGCAGGTTTCGCTGATTTTCGCGATTTGCGCGAAACCTGCGACGGATCGCAAAAATTGCAAGTGCCCCATTTGAACATTTGAAACACTGAATATGAAACAAGTGGAATCATGAGCAGTCGTCATTCAGCCATCACTATCAAGCAGAAGTGGCGGCAGGACACCTTGCAGTATTGATCGGGCTTGTGATTTCCGTGACCCGTCGCGTGAATCGCGCAAATCGCGAAAATCAGCGATCTGCCACGGATCGCGGACTCTGACACCAGCCATACGTAGTTCGGCGGGACCGGCTGCCCGTATCCACAACCGACGATGGGGTATATATGTATTCTCCGTGCAATCGCAACGATGGCAGATCGAACATTCGATACCTATGTATTCCACATACGGTTGTGCGACCGGTCCGATTGCACAACCGTATGTGGAATACATAGAAAATGAAATTTGGCCTACCAACTTAGCTGCGCATGATACCGAGCGATTATCTCGACTCCGACTCTGGAAAAGATGCGGCAGTTTGGGTTTGAGTCTTTTCCTCAAATTCCTCTAATTTTAAGTGAACGTGTAGTGTTTTGTTGCAGGGAATTTTTATTTATACGCGAACGAATCAGTATTAGTGTATTAATGAGAGTGTGTGTTGCCTATTTGGACGAGGATCACGTATTCGGATTTGAGACGGTTAAAATTAAGATAAAGCACCTTTGAGTGTATCCAAATAAATAAATAAAGCAAAGTTAATTATGACATAACG